GTTTAATGTGTGGGGTTTAGGGTTTAGGGTTTAGGGTTTAGGGTTTAGGGTTTAGGGTTTTCCGGAATCCAGAGGAATCTATCAGAAATTTTGCATTCGGTTTAGGGCCAAGCCACTGCCAGATTGGGTTGCACAGTACTTCGACGATCGCCCGCCTAACCCTAAACCCTAAACCCCAACGCCCGCCTGAGAAGCAGCAACAGGGAACCGCATGCAGCAAGTAAGCCAGACCTGCGCTCGCACATGGGTGGATTCTCTAAATTGGGGTTTAGGGTTTATAGGGTTTAGGGTTTAGGGTCAAGGCTTTAGGGCTTTAGGATTAGGGTTTAGGGTTTAGGGCTTTAGGGTTTAGGGTTTAGGGTTTATGGCAGGTCCGCAATATAGTACGGCACCCTTATAAAAAGGACCATAAAGGGATCCTAATTTAGAAAACTACCCACATGCATGGCTCACGGTGGTTGCTGCCGTCGAAGAACATTCAACTACAGGGACAAGAAGCTCGAAAAGCCCCAAACCCTGAACCCCTGAACCCTAAACCCTTAAACCCTAAACCCTTAAACCATAAGCCCTTACACCTAAATAGTGGTCGCTATGCCATGTACATACTACAGGGACAGTGACATATCAAGTAGATTAGGATAGATCCCACGACGCCTTAAGTAAGGAATACCTTCAGCAATAGGGGGCCTTCATGTTGGAGGGAGAGCAGATTAAAGTTCTGTTCCGGAAAAGATGGGTATTGAAACCCGAAACCATAGACCTTAAACCCTTAAACCTTCGATTCCCACCCCTAAACCCTAAACCCTAAACCCTGTTTCGGAGTGCACCAAACACAGCGGCCCTTCCTGTGGGACCGCAGACGCCTGGCTGCCATGGCTCAGGGAGGAGATGCAAGCGTAGCTGATGGGGTTTAGGGTTTAGGGTTTGGGGCCTGTCTGCAGCAAATGTTTTACACCCTTATAGTGCGTATCAGGTTTTCGAATGAGCGTCTCATAGACCCGCGAAATTTGTAGTCTACCTGTTGAGAACTGGGGACCGTCTATAGAGTGGAATTTTGAAACCCATTTATCCGAGCTGATCCTAAGCTCAATGGCTGCTGCTTCGAGTCTGTGCTGTGGGTGCCAACATTGATGTCACGAAAATGCTGGAGGAGCACCATGGGAGCTCCATTGGCTGTCGCTGCTGTAGCCAGGAAGCTTTGCGGCAAGCACATGTGCAGCAGTATATCAGTGCTTCAGAGATTGACGGCCACAGCATTTTCTACTAAGTTACTAGGGCGTGCAGGTACGCTACGTACTGCATACCTTCACTGAGGTTTGTGGGTATGTGAACCACACCACCCAGGCCAAACCCTAGTAGGCCCTAAACCTTAAACCCTACCCTGAGGCCACGACCCTAAAGCCTAATCCTTAAGCCGCACCGTCAAACCACGACCCTAAACCCTAAACCCTAAACCCCAAACCCCTAAACCCCTAAACCCTATACCCTAAACCCCCTAAACCCCTAAACCCTATACCCTAACCCCTAAAGAATAAACCCCAAACCCCAAACCCGAAACACCAAAGCCGGACCATGGTCCTGGTTCCTTGGCTCACGGCAGGCTTGCGCCATACCGCCGTCAGGGGAGCGCACCCTGGCCTTCTCGCACGGCATCTTACCATCGCAGGGTTTTAGGGGTTTAGGGTTTAGGATTTAGGGGTTTTGGGGGTTTGGGGCATAGGGTTTAGGGGTTTAGGGGTTTAGGGTTTAGGGTTGAGGGTTTTAGGATTTAGGGTTGAGGGCCCAAAACGCCCTTGAAGGAATATAACGTGTACTAAATAATACGATTAAGGCCCAAAAGTATACCACTTCTTTGGACCCTCAACCCTAAAACCTAAACCCTAAGGCCCAAAAGTATACCATTTATTTGGAAGGCATTGGGCTCTCTGGGTCGTTGAAGTGAGAGCTCGATCGCTAGTTCAGGGCAGGTTTGATCCAGGTACTCGCAGACAACGCGTGTGCGCCACTGTTTGTGGGAGTTTCCTAGAGCAGCTGACCCCAGGCACAGAACCTTAAACCCTAAACCTTAAACCCTAAACCCTCAAAACAGGATAAATATAACCTGGACAGTGTATCGGGGTGGAGACGGAATCGGCAACCCCAATGAGCCCTAAACTTCTCCAGCATCCTAAACGAAAGGGTGTTCGTAGTAAAAGTTTACCTATTGCCTCCATGGTAGTTCCTGCTTTCAGGTTCCTTTTGGTAAACTAAAAGAGCTTAATGAAACAAAAATCAAGAATTATATAGGAAGTTGATAAATAGCAGAGTCAAAAGCCCGAGATCCGATAAACGCCATGAGCACCTAACAAAGCCTCGACATGTTCGGGGCTTTAGGATTCGCAGGGTCAGTACGATGCGACACCGGTTTCAAGTCTTCTTGGCTGACTTCTGAAGCCCTCCTGGAAGCTAAACTTTTGGCCTACCCTAAACCCTAAACCCTAAACCCTAAACCCTAAACCCTAAACCCTAAACCCTAAATAGCTCATGAAGGAAAACCCAAAAAGCTAAAGTCCGACGAGCCAACCAGAAGAATGCCAAGTCTCCTCGAAGTCATATCCTCACTACGCTACTAGGCTTCCCAAACCCGAAACCTTATTAGAAGGTTTAGGGTTTAGGGGTTTAGGGTTTAGGGTTTAGGGTTTAGGGTTTTGGGTTTTGGGGTTTAGGGTTTAGGGGAAGCCCCAAACCTTCTTTCTGAACCCTAAATCCTATGTTGAACCAAGAACCCCAACCCTAAATATGATGCTTAATGGACCCTTCACCCCAAAAAAACCCAAGACTCTAAACCCTCTTCCAGACCCCGAACCCTACACTAGACTTTGAAGTAACACAGGGGGGGAACAAATATGAGTTTTTGTTACGCAATGGTTCCTTTAAGGAACAGGTCCAAACAAGTATCAACGTTTGGTCCACCCTACACCCTAAACCCTGGTCCACCAGAAGATGCCGAGACCTCGAGAATGTAGATGCCGGCCAGGAGGGGCAGGGTATCCTGCCAAGCGATTTCTGGGATCAAGGTTTAGGGCCTAGGGTTTAGGATTTTAGGCTTTGGGTTCCGGAATTGGGGCTTAGGATTTGGGATTTAGGTTTTAGGA